AAATTAATGCTTAACAAACATTTAGTTATAATTATTACCCATATTTAAATGTGGCAGTGTAGTTGGTGGTAGGGTGGAGTGGGGTTGATGGTACAACTACGGTGGTTGTGTAGTTATAAGATAATAGTGAGATAATACAAAATTTGTGAATATTATGATGGTGGTGGTGATAATAGTAGTGATAATAGTGATGGCAATGGTGATGAGGGTAGTAATGATGATAGTATATAGTGAGCATGGAATAGTGGTGGTGTCATGGTAGTAGTGGGGTTGGTGGCGCAGTCACAATGGTTGTGTGGTTATAAGATAGTAGTGAGATAAGATAGAGTTTGTGACCATTGTGATGGGGTGGTGGTGGTGGTGGTAGTAGTAGTAGTAGTAGTAGTGATGATGGAGTGATGGCAATGGTGGTGCGACTAGTAATGACGGTAATATAGAAGAAATGGAGTAGTGGCGGTGTGGTGGTAGCAATTGTTACTTGAAGGTAGAAGTAGCAGTGACGATGATGGTGGTGGTAGTAGAGTTTGAGTGGTAGTGGTCGTGCTGTTGTAGTAATAATAGTGGTAGTAAGATAGTGTTTTGTGTAGGTGTTGGTAACAATGACAATGTGACAATTTTGATGGTGGTGATATATTGGGGTAGATGTGGCGATTGTAGTGGTGGAGGTCAGGGGGTTGTAGTGATAGTGGTGGTAGTGATGGTAGTTGTGATGATATTAGTGGCAATAATAGTGGTAACTTTGGTGGAATGATGACGATTAGCTTCAATAGTGACATAATAAATATAAAAAATAAAAAACTCTTTAAGTGTTTAACGTTTTAAGTAATATAAATTGTGATTATTAAAAAAACTTAATTTATTTTTACTAAATATGATCAATTTTAATATTTGAATTATTAAGACCGCCTAATTCTCAAGCTCTTGGCTTAGACGTGCAATATGAGTTTGGATTTCCACTCAATTATTATGCAATCAAACAAAATGAGGTTTATTAGCATGTCCAAACATAACCCTACCCCTTTAAAAAAAAAAAAATTCAAATTTCCCTTTCCTATAAAAAAAAAACAATTTAAAGAAAAGTTCAAAATGGAGGTTGGGGAATAATGCAATGTGACTAAAGTAGTTGAAATGGCAGGCCCCCAAAAAAGTCAATAATACAAATGACAATGAGGGTTAACCACAATTCTTTCTATATGAAATCATAAAGATTGGTACTACATAAATTAAAAAATTTATAAAATTTGTGATTCAGTTTGGAGTTATATCACTTTAAAAATAAAAAGACTACTAACATGACTTGTATTTTTAAAATTGTTATTGGCACATTATTTTGGATATACAAAAGTATACAATTTTTTTTTTATTATATATAAATCACTTCTCAAATACAAAAGAAAAATAAATCAATTACTCAACAATTATATACATATTTAGGACCTGTTTGTTTTCCATAATAGAGCTTCGAACTGGATTGTTAGTCCGATTATCAGCACCAATCTTACGTTTGTTTTCAAAATGAAGGTCTGGATTGAGAGTTCGTTAGGATTACGAAGGACCTTAGACGAGCGGACTAGTAGTCTGAGCAAGGAGAAGGTATTCAGAAATAGTCAATTCAAATTAGAGTGTAACTGATTGTCCGAACAGACGTTTGATTGGTCGTCTGGTCAGGTGTAATTTTTTTTTACATGTGCAGCCGCACATTTTGAACATTAAATATATATATATATAAATCATGATTTTTATTTATTTTATATAAAAATAATTTAACAATTTTTAAACTAACAATTATCATAAAAATAAATACAATTTTATTTAATTTTTTCACTAATTATTTTCACTTACAATCCTTTCTGTTCAATCTCTCAAAACACACGGCACTATGCGTTATGGTCCTCAAATCAAAATCATAGTCTGAAATCTATGACTGACAGAGATACATGGTTTGTTTTTTTTCAAAAACACATTTAAGAATTGTTTGGAATGATTTAAATAAGTACATTTTTTAATTTTTTATGAAATATGGATTGTATATGGATTGGATTTGAGGTGATGTGATAGAATAGTGACTTTTTGACTTTTTAACTTTTTTAGGTCATAACAAACAAGGCCTTAAGTTTCATTTGGATGTGAATTGAGTTTTTGAATTTTTGACTATTAATATGGAGTTAAAATAGCCTTGTTTGGGATGGTTTTTTAATTTTTTTTTAATTTTTGTAAGAGAAAAAATAAAATGATTATAATTTGAATATGATGACTTTTAACTTAAGACTAAAAAATTTATTTTATTTTTTTATAATTATTTTAGTCGCAACCCATCCCAACCCACATGCCAAACCAATACGTAAGTGAGAAACATACACATGGATATTAATTGACATACACATGGATACACATGGATATTAATGTCTCGTTTGGAAATAAATTATTTTAATAATTTTTTAAACTAAAATATGAGTTAAAAAAATTAATATGTTTGTGATGATTTTTTAATTTTTTAAGAAAAGATATACAAAAGGTAGAGAAAAAATAAAATCTTTGATTTTTTTTTGTATAAATTATTAATTTTTAAATTTTTTTAATAATTTTTTAACTTTTAAACTAAAAAATAATATTACCGAATGAGACCTAAGTTGACATTAGTCCAGCCAGGCCGTAATTGTGTGGCACTGTCTTTGTATGTGTATGTATGAGCCATATGAGAAACAAACATGAGTTGTAATATGAGTCCATAAAGCCACTGGTTAATTAATGCTCATTCTTTTACACAATTATATTTCTTTACATATATTTTCTTGTTATATTTAAAAACAAAATTAAAATTTTCATTTGTTCTATCTCTAGTCTCATAATTTCAAGCATATTCTCATCTTTAATCTTTGTTTCTTTTCTTTACACTCATAATTTTTCAAATTCTAACCCCACAACTAGTCTACCAACTCCTCCACTCCTTTGACTACTTCTTTAGATTATTTTGAAAAATTAGTTAAAAAGTTATTTTTTGATTTTTTTTATCTTTTTAAAAAAAACATATAAAAAGTAGATAGATAATATGACAAAAAAAAATCAAAAAATTAACTTTTAGTCAACTTGCCAAAACAGGCCTTATCTCTCAACCTCCCCTCCAACCTCACCAACTCTCACACCACTTGCAATTAGGAGTGTGCATAATATCGCCGAAACTGGCAAAACCGTCAAAACCGCACCGAACCGCACCGCCAAGGCAAATTCGTTGTTATTTGCCAATCGAACCGTTGATTTTTGGTAAGAAAAATGGCAAATTCTAGTGACACTTTTATAAATCTGCCGGTTTCTATTTTTCTTCCAAACCGCACCGACCCGCACAACTATTAAATCATGTTTTATAAGATTCTAAAAATTCTTTTTTACTTAAGTTTGCTTGTTGTTCTGTATCTTAGAATATAGTATCACATTACTGCTCGAGGGGAATTCAAGATGTCAGTAATCCAAAATAAAGTTGGATTCCAATTCACTTTTCAATCTTTTTTTTTTCCGGCCATGTTGCAAACTTCCATCAGCTCACTTTTCAATCTAAATACTTTTCAACAGTAAACATTTTTAATATATTGTAAATCCTGAATGATATTAATTTTATGTATTGTATTTGATCATTGTACCTTTCATAGATGCTTGTAATGAACTAATGACATAGTTGTTGATATTATTATGTTGTTGTTACACTTGCTGCATCAGAAGAAAGTTTTGCAAGATGCTTAACATCACGGTATCTCTCGTCTTTTTTTCTCTTTGATTTAAGTTTTGTAATTAGAATTATATTTTTTATAAACCGCAAATCCGCTCGAATCACCAAGGCAAATCCGCCATTATTTATCAACCAAACCGCCGGTTTTTGATAAGAAAAATGACAAATTCTAGTGACACTTTTATCAATTCGCCACCCGCCATACGATTTCTATTTTTCTCTCAAACCGCACTGACCCGCACCGCGCACACCCCTACTTGCAATGCCCTGCCTTCCTTGTCTCTCTTTCCTTAACGAAAATATATAAATAATTTAGATTGAAAATAAATTAAAAAAATTAAATTTAAATTGACAAAATTAAAAATTTATTTTATTACATGACTCAAACTTTAAATTTATTTTTACTTATAATTTCCCCCTTAATTTGCTTCTGTTTATCTTTAGAAAAAAATACTCAAATCCTCTATTCTCAAGAATTTTTATGGATTTCTATTTCAAACCATTTACAACAACTCGATTATTAACATGTCAAGATGTTAGAATTTCAAAACACAATTGAACGAATGTAGGCAGCCAAAAAAAAAATTAATTAATTAATAAAAAAAATTAAGAACAGAATATCGCATGCTGTAAAAAGCAAACATTAGGTGAAGATTTGCACAATTTCAGCTCAACCTTCCCCTCCTCCCTACCCCCTCCTCTCTCTCTCTCTCTCTCTCTCTCTCTCTCTCTAGGCTTTACCATGCTAAGAACTTGTTTGGATGTTAGTTAATTTTTTTAACTTTTTAACTATTTTAATCTGGAACTAAAAAGTCTCATTTAAAATATATTTTTTGTCTTTTTTTAATTTTTGTGAGAAAAAAAATGAAATAATTATGAGTTGAATATAATATTTTATCATATTTGACTAAAATAATCTATTTTGACCCATTTTGAAAACTTAAATTAAAAAATAAAAATTAACTTTTAACCCATTTTAAATCTCATTACCTTTCACACAAAACAATAAAAAAATTTAAAAACTTAAACTTAACTTTTAATTATCTTCTCAAAACATCCTTTAAAAAAGAGTAATGCTAGAGACTCCAAATATTCTATCAAAAATTTTACCAAATGCCTCATATAGGTGTGGGACCCACACAATGTGGGTCCCATATGAGTCCCACACCCATGTGAGACATTTAGTAAAACTTTTAGTAGAATTTTTGGGACCTCTAGAATTTTTGTTTTAAAAATACTCTTCCAAACAAGCTCTAACATTTATTATTCCTATGAACTTCAAATTCTTCTGAACCATTGACAAGAACAAACTCTCTCTCTCTCTCTCTAACTTTTGTCACCCAAAATTCAAACACCTCTGTAGCTCTAGCTCCCCTTCTTTTTGACTGGTTCTCAAAACCCATCTTCTCATTTTCCACCATAACAATCTCTCACCATTCAATTCCCTGAATCTCCATGGCGATCGATATGTGCTCTGAGACTCCGAGTCTCGGCACAAGCCCTAGAATCTCATTCTCTCACGATCTTCACGTCTCAGATCATGAAATTCCAACCGAGAATTCCCCAAGCCGATCGGACTCATCACTTCTAGATTCCAATTCCGACTTCAATTTCTTCGTCGGAGATCACATTCAAACCACCGAGCAATCATCTGCCGACGAGCTCTTCTCCGGCGGCTTAATTCGGCCTATGCAATTCGTCGTTACGAATTCGCAACAAATTCCGATTTCCAAACCGAAATCTGTCGCGATTGCGAATGCGAATGCGAATGCAAATCTTCTTCCACCTCTTCCCACGCCGATGACGAACTCTGAAACCGAATCGAAGACTCAATCGAAGACGTTTTGGAAGGTGAAGAGGAGTAGTAGTCTTCGATGCGATAACAGTTACAAGAAGAGCTCGTTTTGGTCATTGCCACAGCTCTTGCGAAGCAATTCGACTGGTTCTGTGCCGAATTCAAAATCAACATCTCATAATCATCATCAGAAACAGAATTCACAGAAACAACACAAAAATTTCGCATCGAAATCGTCATCTTCATCGTCATCGTCGTCGTTGCAGAAGCCGCCATTGAAGAAGAACTATGGAGGAGGTTATGGAAATGGTGGTGGTGGAGTTCGGATTAGCCCAGTGTTGAATGTGCCTCCTCCATATATTTCTAGAGGAACCACTAATCTGTTTGGATTGGGCTCTTTGTTTCGCAATGGAAAGGATCCTAAGAAGAACAAGAAATCATCGTTTACTTAGGGTTTTGCAATTGGTAGGTTTGTGGCTTTCATTTCAATCTAAAGTCTATAGTGTTCTTTTGAGTAAGTTCCAGTTCTATGAGGATCTTTTTTTTTTTTTGAGATTTGTTGTGACTAATATTTCGAGTACATGCAGTCTCATGTCCTATACATCCCGAGTGACTATAGGGTACATATATTAGTATAGTTTTCGATAGGGTTTAAGTCTTTCATGAAATTCGAATTTATGTTTTCTTATACTATTGTTATGATTAACTAAATACCATCTAATTGTTTGAATTATGTAAAAGAAAATGATATTATGTTTTGTAATATTCTTATCATGATTCAAATTGACACTTAAATAATTGTTTTGAATTATGTAAATGATATTCTTGCAAATTTTTGAATTATTGTAAATGATATTCTTGTAATGATATTCAAATTGGCACTTAAATAATTGTTTTGAATTATTGTAAATGATATTCTTGTAAATAATTGATTAGTCGAGGTGCGATACTCCGAAAGGGTGCTGGCCCGGACACTCGGTTATAAAAAAATATATATATATATTCTTGCAAATTTATCGATCAGAATAATAGAATTATAATTAAATAATCTTAACGAGCTTTTTGATTTACACTGATCAAATCATAATTTGTCATTTTCTTTTACATTGATTTTTTATATAATTTATATATTTATTTATTTTTTATATATCACTATTCTTATGTAAAATAGGAGAGAGAGAGAGAGAGAGAGAGAGAGAGAGAGAGAGAGAGAGAGAGAGATTAATTGGATAAAAGATAATGACTGAGAGAAAGGATAAGTGAGAAGGGGAGTCTTTGGAATGCTCATGTTAATGGCCTTGGGGACATAACAACAGGTACCCTTCTTTCATGGCTGTCCTCAATTATTTTTTCCACCTCTTTCTTCTATCTCTATGATATGAGTTGGTTTTGTTTATTTTAAGATTGCCTTTTGGACTTTGATATGTAAAATAATATTGATTTGGTTGATTCTTTCTCTATAATAGATACTCTATCCAAAATTCCTTTTTGTTTGTTCTTGTGTGGTTAAGACAAAGGGGTTGCTTCCAAATGGTGTGTGGGTTTGGAGGGAAAAATATTCCAATAATGCCATTGTTACTTTTCTTGATATTTTGTTGCTGCTAGATTTACAAATTCAAGTAATCTAGTGCTGGAGTACCATTTCATTAGGTCCCCTACTTTTTCTTTTTTCTTTTTCCCCATGCATACTTTTCTCCTTGCCAAAGAAGCACAACTTCAACTTGCATCTACAAAATCCTGTGTTTGGCAAGGGTTTTTTCAGGTTTTTTTTGGTTATTTTAGTCACAAAAAATAAAATAGACTATTTTAGCTATAACAAACAAAACATCACATCCAACCAATAATCATTACATTCTTCTCTCACAAAAAAAGTTAAAAAAGCCAAAAAATTAAAAAGTCCTTTCCAAATCAAGCTTTTTAGCCCAGGCTAAAATAGCCAAAAAAGCTAAAAAGCCAAAAAGTCAACCCACTTCCCAAATGGAGGCTAAGGTTGTACTTGAATTATAAATTTGGATAAGATTTAGAAAGAAAAATAATAGATGAAATATAAATAAAATATAGATATATTTCACTCATTTTTATTTTTTTTTAATATTTTGTTTTGAGAGTCATAGTGCAATTTCTACCTTCAAAATAAGTTTAAAAAATTGATTATTTGAAATTAAAAAAATTCATTTTTCAAGTTACACTAAACAAGTTTTCTATCTATTTTTAATTATATGATTGGACTTTCAAATTTTTATATATATCTAGATTTTTATTAAAATGTGGGTTAGAAAGAACTGCATTGCCAAATACGTGGGACATGAGATAAGAATTTTGGAAATTGTATTGTACTATCTTTACGTTACACTGACGTAGGCATCGATCGGTCACTCTTTATTTTAACATAAAAATTAAAAAATTATTAAATATAATAAAAAAAGCTAAAGGTAATATTTTAATTTTCAACAATGATTCATCTCACTAATTTATGAGCACTAATTGATCACTAATGAGATAAAAATAAAAAAATAAAAAAAAAACACGCACACACACAAGAGCAAAGCATCCCATCATATAGGACTTACACCACTTTAGAGCTATTAGTGCTCCTCTTTTTAGTGGTCTCACTTAGGGCTGGGCAACAAACCCACCCGTCCGCACAAACCGCCCGACCCTACCCTACCCGCAGTGCTTTGGGCGGTTTCGATGTAGGTAGGCGGGCGGGTGCGGGTCAAGAAATTGGCAAAAGGTCGGGTTCGGGTCGAACCCGACCCACCCGCAACCCACATCTTTTTTTTTTTTAAAAAGAAGAAAAAATAACTAGTTATTATTATTATTTTTTGCATTTTGGATGGATGGAGATAACTAGTTATTATTTTTATTTTTACATTTTGGATGAAAGTAAAATTTATTATATGGGCACTTATATACATTATCATGATCTAATGATATTTAAATTAGTGTTACTAGTTTAACTTTTATTTATACATATAAAAAAAAAATCATTATATTCCATTAGTCGAGTAGACACAGTTAAATATGATATTTTGAATTGTCATTCTATTATCACATTATTGCATATTAAAAGCTAAACAGTAAAGATTAATCCACTATTAAAATTAGTGTTACTAGTTTGACTTTTAAGGGTTTGTTTTTGCATATTTAAATTAGCGTTACTAGTTTGACTTTTAAGGGTTTGTTTTTGCAAGCTAAGGAGGAAGATTAATTACTATCCTCAAGCATGGTTCCATATCATCTTATCTAACATGTGGACTATTTATTATGATCATGAATTGTATATCTTGTAATTTAATTTATAACTCTTCTAAAAAAAAAAAAAAAAAAAGGGTTTAGAAAGTAACAAAAAATGTCAAATTTGCTTAAGTTAAAAAAAAAAAAAAAAAACACTAAACCGCAAACCGAACCGCACCCGCCCGCACAAACCGCGAACCGCATCGCGGGCGGTTGCGGGTCCATTTTTCCCCAATCGCATAAGTGCGGGTCGGGTCAGTTTTGACCCGCACCCAGCCAAAACCGACCCGCGAGCAGCCCTAGTCTCACTCATTTTTCTTTAATTTTTAAAATATGATTTAGATCAAAAAATTAAAAAAAATTGTTTCCTTAAAAAACTTTTAAAGTGCAATTCAAAATTTAGGTTCTATTTAGTAGAGCTCTCTAAACTTTATTCTACTATTACATTTGAGTGTAGTATTTATTTATGGTTTTTAAAAATTAATTCAACATTTACTTTTGAAAACACTATCAAATGCGGAAAAAATTAGGCTAATCGGTCGTTCGGCTGGTTAACCAGAACAGTGTATTTTTATTTTTATTTTTTTTTACAAATGCCACTTGTTATTTTTTATATTTTAAATTAAAAAAAAATCTGAATTTTTAAAATTTTTTTTATGAGTTTTGAATAGAATTTTGAGTTGTGTATATGGTTATGAGTTGTAAGTTTTTGTATCAAACATCATATGTCACATCAAAAATTTTCCACTCAATTCAAAACTCTTTCCAGAACTCATTAACCAAACAAATTTTTCAAACTCAAATTATAATTCCAAAACTCATAAATTCAAAATACAACTCTACTCTCAAATTATATTTAGAAAATTCTACCAAACGCAACTTTAATTTTTTCTCTCATCTCTTCTTCTTTTTCTTTATTATTAATAAATCAATCAATCATTTTTTTTTTCTTTCATCTATCTCTCTTACTCTTTTATATTTTACACATCAATCAATCAAATTTTTTCTCACACTTATCTATTCAACTTAAAACATAAATAAATGAATTGCAAATCATCCTAAAATTATTTTTAAAACTCATAACCAAACAAATTTATAGGCACCGTTTGGGAAGTGAGTTTATGGGCTTTTTTGGCTATTTTAGCCACAAAAGACAAAATAGGCTATTTTAGTCACAACAAACAAAACATCACATCCAACCCATAATCATTACACTCTTCTCTCACAAAAAAAAATCAAAAAAGCCAAAAAGCCAAAAAGCCAAAAAGCCCTTCCCAAACCAAGCTTTTTAGCTCAGGCTAAAATAGCCAAAAAAGCCAAAAAGCCAACCCACTTCCCAAATGGAGGCTAACTTTTAAAACTCTTTTCAACAATTTATCTTTCAAAATACAAGTCAAAACTCATTTCAAAAAATAAACCAAACGAATAGTTTTTTCTTGGGCAAATTACATATACACCCCTCCAGGTTTGACAAAATTACAGATACCCCCCTGAGGTTTGAGAAATTACAAATTTCCCCCTGAATGCTATATTTGCATAAGAAATTAGGGGGTAATTTGTTATGAAATATAAACCTCAGGGGGTAAATTGTTATGAAAATACAAACCTCAGGGGGCGGGATGTAATTTCCGAAACCTCAGGGGGATATCTGTAATTTAACCAAACCTGGAGGGGTGTATATGTAATTTGCCCTTTTTTCTTTCTTTTTCCATTCACTCTACTTTTTTTACATTTTTTTATAAAAATCTTATCTCAAATATATTTTAATTTTTTTCATCTCATATTTTAATAAATAAATAAAAATTAAAACATCACTAAAAAAAATGTCTATTCCTAAACAAGGTCTGACTAGGGACATTTCATATTTTAATAAATAAATAAAAATTAAAACATCACTAAAAAAAATGTCTATTCCTAAACAAGGTCTGACTAGGGACATTTCAAACTAACATAGGCCCCGTTTGTTTGGGCGCCATCACAGTCCGAAGTGGACTGTGATGAATGAACAGTGCATGTAGTTCATGTTTGTTTTGTTTGAGGCATCCGGATTGGTAGTCCATTCGGACTACGATGAGCCTTGGGCGAGTGGATTAATAGACCAAGCGAATAGGTGATATTATTAAACGACAATGCTACGTAGCTCAAATTTTGTGGCTCAAAAGTGGCTCAAATGGCCAAAACGACGTCGTTTTGAGTACATAACAACATAAAAAATGGCCAAAACGACGTCGTTTTGGCCATTTGAGTCACTTTTGAGCCACAAAATTTGAGTTACGAGACATTTTTCATTATAAAAATAGTCCATCGATTGAGTTACCATACGTCCGTTGGGACATCCAGTCAACTTGTCGGTCAACCGATCAACAGAATTATTTTTTATTTTTATTTTTATTTACTTGTTGGACATTTTTTTTTAACATTAATGTTTTAATGTTTTTGTAATTTTTGTTAAGTAAAAATTATAATTTTATTTGTTTTATTATTTTATATAAAAATAATTTAACAATCTTCTCACTAACAAAACAAACACAATTTTATTAATCCCCTCACTATGAAAACAAATACAATTTTACTAATTCTCTCACTATCAATCCCTTTTATTCTACCTTTAAAAACAAACGGGGCCACATAGATGACAAGAATGAACCTATGACCTTAGTGATAAGTTTTGGTCACAATATGGGTGTGTTTGATTGGACAGACTGGATAAGGGGGGATTATAATCTATCGAACTTGAGTCCTGGGACTATGAATCCTCCGAACTATTTGGTTGGATTGGATATGTATCCGGGGTTTATTTTTTCATAGGATTAGATGTCTGGAAATGACTATTTTTAGTGAATTCAACGTTTGGTTGGACGGACTGAATAGAATAAATGAACAAAAGACTAATTTACCCTTTTTCAATTGTTTATTAAGTAATAGCAATATTAAACATATCTTTAATATTTTAATTATTTTTAGCTAAATTAAATAATATTTTATTTTATTTTATTTTTTATACAATTAAATAAATTTATTTTTAAAAAATAAAATAAATAAAATATCAATAAAAATATATGTTATTTTTTTAATTAAAATTTTAAATAAATTTGTTTTTAAAAATAATAATAATTAAACAATGAAATGAAATAAACATCCATTAACATTTAAATAATGAAATTAAATAAAATATAAACAAAATTTTAAAATAAAACATCAATAAAATATCTATAAAAAATTATTTAAAAATAA